GTTTAGAAAGGAAAGAGGTGCTAAGCCACCTTAGTAAGAATTCAGAGGGATTTGCACCAGTGCAGCTTCACGGCAAAACACATCTTTATTCAATTGATTTTGCCATGAAAGCAGGAACTTTCATTCAAGTACAGTTGGTACAAGGATTTAATCGTTACTGCTTCCGTTTTGATTTTAAATCAAATACAGTGAGTGTTTCTGACTCAGGGAATGGTGACATTTTCACCAACTTTGTGCCATCGATGCCTTTCAACGAGCATTAGAGGTCACCAAGCGGTCACAAATGTGGGAGACCCATGTTGATTCCCATTGGGGTGTCTTCTCCTCCTCTACAGGACCAAAATCGTGGCAATTTGCCTTGATGGCTGTGCCATCCACACCCGACTGAGGGGGAATGTGGTGTGAGACTGAACCACTTGCTTCTGCTTGGACCATATACCGACATCAGTTTCGTGTCAGCTGGCAAAGATGAGGTCGCTTCCCCTTGCCCCTGAGAAATAAAATATAATTAAACCAAAAAAAGGCAATTCTGCGATTTCAGTGCGTGCTCTGCTCAAACCCCTTCCAAGAGGAAAGCAGGAGACGTGGTATTGATTTTTTCAGTGTGCAGGTGGCTCAGGCATGTTCTCCGCACCGTTAGAACGTGAGCAGATGCTTCATAACTGTAATAGAAAATCAAGGATGCTTCTCTACATCACTGACTTCCCCCAGTGTTTTGGCAAGGATTGTTGGCCCAAGCAGATGTGGAAGAGAGAGTGGAATATGAAGTCTGTCAGCGTCATGAATATTTAAAATATGGTCAACTGTGTGGCAGAAGTTACTATGGCTGAGGCTTCTGCTGAGCTGGTTTTTATATCCACCCGTGACTTTTTTTGCCAGCGTGTACAAACACGGTACCCAGTTTCACACGGTTAGCGAGTATGGATTGAATTAAACCAACACGGCACAGGTCGCTTTCGTGCTAGTGCTTTGGTCACTACTTTTCCACGACACCCAGTGAGTTCTCGTCTTTCTTTTGGATATGCTGTCATTTTTGCTCTCCATGGGAGCTTGGCTGTCTGTGATTTCTCTGTCTGCCATGGTTTTGTGTCCCAGAGTGTGATTCTCCAGTGATGCTGTAGCACAGCAGATGTATTCCAAAAGGTAGAAGGCTGAGGTGGTCTGGGTGAGTGAGGCTGTGCAAGTACCAGCTTTGACAGGCATCCTGGTTGGAGTAGGTGGTGTCCTTCTGGAGATCCTTGGTCTTACAAAGCATCATAGGTTGAAGGCAGCAGAGGTTAAAAACCGCTCTCCTTATCCAGCAAGCACAGAGGAGCTGTGGAAGTGCGTGGCCCTTCTCCCCTCCTCTCCTTACTGGAAACGGGGCGGGAGGCAGCAGATAGTAAGTGGACACTTACACGGTTTTCAGCTTCCCACATGGATTTCGTTACTCTGTCGTATGTCATGAACAAGCTGACTTACGCAAGACATTTCACTTGCCAGAGGGTTATTTACTGTACTTTGATGTAGTAACTCCGCACTATTGCATTATTTGGAAATAATTCTATTGTGCTAAGTATTTTGTATGCAGATACCTTATATGGAGGGAAAAAACCCCACATCATCATGATTTTTACATCATTTTTTCCTTCACTTCTTTGAAAATTACGTCTTGCTATAAAATCACTTCCACTACCTAGTGTTCCATCACCAGTACCCGACCACGAATGTGCGTTCCTGGGAAGGAGAGGGTGACAGAAACAAACACCTACTCTAATGTGTCATTAGAAATCAAACAGACCTAAAACTTGCTTCTGCTTGCCAATGCTCAGATCTTCTATAAGCCTGTCTCCGGCAGCGAGACCGAGGATGTATCTGGATTACAGCAACTGTGCTTGCATGCAGACAAAATACCATCGAACAATTTAAGATTATAGGCTGGCATTGCGCCTGCAAAGCTGTTTGTTTATGTATTGGATTAAAATCTTCATTTACCACCTCTATTTGCTCAAACCAAGTGAGTACTTAGATCAGTTAAACAGAGTTCTCCATTCATTTCCACTGGCTGTATCCTTTGTGCGTTACATCCGCTTCTGTATAAACCCGCCCTTTGTTTTGTTTTGAGGTGCTTCTTAAGGCTCTGTCAGGGAACAAGTGGCCGTCTATAACGTCTCCCAAAGTGGGATGGATAAATTAGCAGTAATCTGATACTGACACATGAAGGTCACCGAAAGGCACCGCTGAAACCCCCCAAGCGGGGTGGGAGTCGCTGCCTTCGGAAAGGCACGCTGCCTACGGACGGTGCCGGCATTCGTCTTCCAATACTGAGGGGTTTCTTTCTTTTTGAATTGTCTGGGTTTGGTAGGTTGAAGTAGTTGGTCTGCTTTGTCGAATGGCAGTGGAAGTTGTACGTAGGTGTTAAGCATGTTACGCGTAGC